TCTGCAATCTCCTTAATATTAGAATTCTCTTAGCACAGAAACTAATAGATAGTCTTATATTATCGATATTGTATTCTTAAATAAAGTATAATCTTTGTTCTTTCATTAACTTTGTAACGAACTGCCATAGTGAAGTAATATTCTACTTGGACATTGTTGAGAGCCTCTCTTCCGTGTCTTATATTACTTGTATTAAATTAAGAAGGCCGATACTTGTAACAGTATTAACAAAGTTTTTTGAAGTAAACTCTTTAAGAAAATTATTTTATAGTAAAAATTAAGAAGAAAAGCTATATATTAAAAAGATATATCTTAAGAACCTCATAAATAAGAAACAACAAGTGAATATAAACAAGATAGTTCAGTTAAAAAACAAAGCAAATAAAATCTTAATAAATTTTATCAAATACTTTTGGTCTTGCTTTTACAAATATTTATAGAAATTCAGATATGAAATAATGATTGAATAAAAAAAAGAAAACAATATCACAACTAAAAAGAAAAAAAAAAAAGATGAAAAGAAAAAAAAAGTAAAACAAAAAAAACATAACTCTTGTAAACAAAATAAGAAAATCAAAAAAAGAAAAAAAAAAAAGAATATAAAAAAAAACTTCGAGTTAATAGATAGATAAAATCAGATAATAAAAAAAGATAATTAAAGTTTAAAACAAATTAGTTAATTTTGATATAAACTGATAGCAACTCTTTATTAACTAAGAGCTAGAAGTTTGTATATACAAACTTAAACTCTTACAAAAGAAATAGTTGCTGTAACAGATTATATTTAGACATCAAAAAGTAGCTAAATAAATTCTAAATGATTTTAAAAAAGTAGTATGCTGTAATTAGTATAGTATTTTGCTTGTAATTTAAATTAGCTTATTCTTAATAAAGTGTTAAACAAGATTGTCTAAGTTAAAAAAAAAAAAAAAAAAATAAGATATACCTATTTGATTTGATTTTAAATAATCAAACTTTTTTTCATAATTTACTACAACTTTATATACTTTACAAAAAAGTTTTCTACTACTAGCATAAAAATCTGGTTTATACTTGGAGTTTTTGATAAAACATTCTGAAGTAAATACCATAATTATATTAAAAAAAATTTTTTAACCCCAAGTAAAAGGCTAGAAAGGCTAGTAAAAAATTTTTTTTATAAATAAAAAAAAAAAAAAAAAAATCGATAAATTAAAAATTGGCCAATCAACGGGCGCCAATTGTAATTATGTTTTAAAATTGATATTACGTTATCCCAAATCCAATTATATGCCCTATTCTTAGCGTTAGTAAATCGTATCAAATTTAAAAACCAAATTTGCAAATCTAAATTTGATTGATTTTTGAGTTCGACATTATTTATCATGAATGGAACGTTTAGGATATGAATCCAAATTACAGTATAAAAAAAACCCAATTCCAAATAATTTAGGCAAAATAGAATAAGATAGGCTTATTGTTTTATCTGTCATTATTCCAAACTATGTAGTAATATCAAATTCAAGTAGAATCACTAGTTGACTTTTGAATCAATTATTGGCCAACACACTAAGACATCGAATATTAAAAAAATTTATTTTTATTGTTTCTATAAAGTTATCTTTAATCTTTGCAAATAATATAAATAAAATCCTAAATCCACGTGTATTAGTAAATGATCATTCGTAAAATTCAACCCCTTTGAATATTCAGATAAATAATTTAAGATACTGAACATATGTATAAATATATCTAAACATATATATTTCTAATTTTACACAACATGATATTCCTCAGCTGACAAAGTCTTTTCTTTAGAAAAGGTCACAGAGGCTCCTGACTCGGTATGGATTACATCCAATACCTAAATAAAATGATCAATATGTAAATTAAAATTTTTAAATTCCGAAATATAAAAATACTTAATGATTTAAATTTGACTTACTTCTATATCACAAATCAATTTTTCACTTATAAATGAAACGCTGACTGGGAAAAACACATTAACGTCATCACCGGCAATATTGAATTCAAGTGACCCTTGTTTGTTAGATGTGTCAATAATAGGCAATTGCCATTCTAGAGTTCTAGTTTGCCTATTTACTTCATAATGACCATCGACATCACCAATAACAGGATTTCCTGTAGGACTTTAAATGTATGATATATATTAGAGAATAATAATCTTTCCTTTATTGATATATTAAGAATATACTTACGGTAATGGAATGGAAATAACAACATCTTTAAATTCTTGACTTTCATTTTCTAATTCATATTCGATATTGACGTCGATCGTTCCATCTCCGGCAGGGGATGGCCAACAATTTACTAAATAAAGATGAGTCAATAGAAATTTAAATTTATAACCTCATTTTAATATATATACTTGATAATGGAATTGATGTCTCGTCTTTTGTAATGAATCGCCATCTAAGGACTCCCAATGGTTGATTGACAGGGAATCCTTTACCAGGGTTTTTCAAAGCAATAATGCTATCAGTAGAAAATAATTTTTTGTCAACATTTGGATGCGTCTACAAAATTTTCAATAAAGTTAAATAATTATTCATATGTATTCTGATAAAATACTCGATAAAATATATAAAAATAAAATAAAAATAAAACCTTCAATTGAAGATTTCCATCATCAACTGCACGAACAGAAATCTTGATTCGTGTCATGTTTGGATCAGAAATAGTAAGTTCCAAATCTCCTTTAACCTCTAAATTTTCGAGACCACCATCTCTATTTGCCTGAAGAGATATCTTTTCGACGATTGATAAGTGAACACTATAAAAAGTCACATGAATAATAATCTCAATAAAATATCATCATAATTTATTTTATTATAGAAGAAGTAACTAGGGATTCACACCTTTCAACGGGAACTTTTGGAATAGAAGTACCTCTAACACTAGCCTTTTCAGATACTTCTTCAAACCCAACTTCATTTTTAACCGCCTCAAACAAATCTGCTCCTTTTTGTTTTCGGCCCAATTGCATTCCCTTGGCTTTAGAAGGCGATGGCGTCGGAGAGCTAGATGCAAAATGATAAATTAAAAATTATTCATTTTTTTTAAAATATCAGGAAAAATTCTTATACGATATCATACCTACTAAACGTAGAACGTATACCTTCTTCAAAGGATGTTTGTACTTGTGGTTCAGAATAAGAAGATGGTCTACTAATAGATTGACCAAAATTGCTTCCAAACGAAGTGCCACCTCCTCTTTTGAGCATTTCCTTTTTTTGCATTTCTAATTGCTTAGCTCTTCTCTTTAATTCTTCTTTAGCTTCTTGTTCTTTATTCTGAAATTTAAAAAGTTATAATGTATATCATTATTTTTATATATATATTTATTTATTTATGTTTTTTTTTTTTTAAAAAAAAAAGTATTTACCCTTGCTATTATTTCTTGAATTTTCTCTTCATGACTCTCCATTTCAGTAATGCTTTTAACTTGAGCAAGATTGACATTTTCCCGATACCCTAAGGACACAATTTCATCAAAAGCACTCAGCAATTCAAAACTATTTCTTAAAATTTCTCTTTCGTCAGTTGAATGACATACATCCGAAACCACACGAGCAAACAGATGTAAAGTATCGATATCTTGTAAAATATTAGACTGTCTATTCGTAATAAGAACCATATAAAGCTCGTCAAGTGGTTGATAAACATATCGAACATGTTCAGTCTCGATAGTAGTATGTTGCTGTCCAGTGCTAGTTAACTTTGGGAAAGATGCAAGTAGACCTTCAATTCTGGCACGTGGCATTTCTCTAAACTGTCGAGAAATCACACCTATAAAATTCGTAACATTAAAAGGTTAAAACGTTGATCTCTTAGGATAAATGATTGTTAAAATACCTTTCCCGCCTTTTGTACATATTGACGCCGCGAGGACAACCTATAGTTAACATACAAGTAAGTGTCTCTACGATCCCAGTTAACTATCAAATAACGTATCATCGTTATGTTTTATGAATTAGTCCTGATAACCAAGGATAAAAAAAAAAACCAACCATGATAAAAATGTGAAGGTAAATTGGAAGTTTAGTACAAGATCAAAGATTTCGTATTCGTGATCCATATCGATTGAATTATTGTGCTACCATTCAATTCATATATAAATAAAAAAGTTAACTTTAGTCTTTAGTTTCTGACAGTTATCTTATATTTAAGTTGAAATGGTAAGATGATTTTAAGCAAAAAGTTATAAGAAATCTTTTACTTAGTAACTTGATTGTTTCGCTTTTAAAGGCAAAACAATCCGACAAAAAAATCGCGCAAGAAAATCTCAAATATCTTAAGAATCTTAAACTGGGATTCCTCATCGTAAATGTAAGTAAATTAATAATATAAAACTACGAAAACGTTAAATATTAATTTGATCGGTTTTTTCTGTGTAGACAATTTATTTTCTTATCAGAATTGTATATTATTACGAATCATTTACACTTTGGATCGCCACGAAATATCTTGTTACTAGTGGCATTAGTTTATTCCTATGGAGTAAACTTATAGCACATGGATCGCCTCGGTTTGGTCCCGGTGGAAATGTTGAATGGCCGGGTAATGATTTGAATTCCAAAGGATTGACCGAGTAAGTTTCTTTTTCTTTTTTATTTATTTTATTTCTTAACATATCATAACTTTTGTACATTTTAAATTGATCCCATGTAGATATATGTTTGATATAATTTATATAACGTGGGCTGTTCACATTATGAGCATATTCTTTGAATGGGTTTGGTGGATGTACTTGTCGGTGAGTTATTCAGTGTCAATTTTTCAAAAAAAAAACAAAAAACAAAAAAGGTTTTTACCAATCTCACAATATTAAATTCTATCAAAAGATACCATCGTTTGCGTTATTTAAGATCTGGACACTTTTCATACAACCAAGTATGTTTTCAGGTGATGAAGGAACTGTTTCGCAGGGAAAAAGCAAACGCCAAACAAAAATTGAAAAACGACAGACAAGACGTTAGTTCCTAACGTGAATAAAATTGGTTTTATATCCCGGTCAAATTTTTGAAAAAATTTTTTATCATAACCAGATAGATTGTTTAAAAATTTTATATTAATAAAAAAAAAAATGCCGGCTGGCCGGGTCTATTTTAAAGTTTCATTTTATGAAGAATTTTGAGCATAATTCATCAAATCGCATAAAATCGAAGCAGAAAATATGCGAAATTGTAAAAGCAAAGAACCCGGGAAGTTCTGGTCACTGAACCGTCAAAGTCAAGTATGGTTCTCGGGAAAAGTGGAAAGAAATTTTTTTTTTTTTTTTGAGAACATAATTATAAGCATTTTTTAAAAAAATCGCATAATATAGCAGAAATCGCAGATTTCAAAAAATTTATCGCATAATTGGTCTTTTATAGAAAGCAGATTTCAAGGGTTGTCGCCGCAGATTTTCGGTGCCCCTAGGCCTAATATAAGCTTTATACGAATCTGAGATTACCTTACATTATTATTTCTTTTGTTACAAACTATAAATGAATTAATTGTCAATTACATTCATTATCTTCAATACTCTGTATTGATTTTGATAGCCTATCTTTTCTATTTGTAAGGGTGGTGCTTTTTATTTTTAACATCTATGTTCCTTTCCTTCCATGTACTTTTTCGTAATTTTATTGGTCTATTACCCACATATTTTCCTATTATCAAGAAATAAGTTTTTTTTCAGCATCCATAATAAAACATTAATAAAATAAATAAGATAAAGAATATCAGCTTACCATTCATCTCTTTCCAAGCTTTGACAAATTCATCTGCGTCTTTAAAGCTAACAAAACCATATCCCTTACTTTTATTTGTACGTTTATCCCGAATGACCTTGGCTTTTTGTATAGAAGGATATTTACTAAATGCTTTATATAAGATATCGTCTGTCACTTCATTACCAAGATCACCACAAAATAAACGAAAGTCATCTGTAATAAAAATTTATAAATTTAATTACATATTTAATTTATTTTTTTTAAATAACAAAATTAAGTTAAAATATCATACTAGTATCCCATTCTAATAATGTTGGATCTTCCCAAATTTCACCACCTGCAGCTCTAATTATTGTCTTTGGTTTCTTTTTTGAACCGGGCTGTTTATTAATTCCACTTTGCATATCATAATGCCCACTTACAATATCATCCTTTGCATGATGAATACCAGAATTGATTCCTCTATCTTGATGCTGAATCATTGCAGATTTACTTGGATTTGAAGACATGGAGTGCGAAGTGTTTACAACTGCTGGAGCTTCTACTACAGTCGCTGTAGACGCTTTTGGTGCTGACGATGCCCCAGAATAATAATAGTTGTTACTACCATATGAAGAATACTCATAATTATCGTAAGTACTGGAATTTGAGTTGCTTTGATAAGGAACATTAGAAGGGTACGCTGTATAATCGTATCCATAATATGATTGGGATAGATCACTAGTCGAGGAAGATGTGTTAGTTGTGGGAGCATAACTTGCAGGATCATAAGTATATGGTGTGTGTGAATGGTTTGATCCTGACATATTAACTATAATGACGGGTTTATAATTCTAGTTTTTCTTTAAAAAACGTTTCTACTGCAACTTTTTATACCGTAAAAAATTCTCAATTTTAATGATGACTCTGCATGGCGATGATTGGCTAATTTTGTATTATTGTAGAATTATAAAAAATGGTCTTCTACATATGACGGCTTTGTAGTAGAAAGGGCGGAAACTACCCCAAAAATGAAAATCGAGTTTTTGCTAAATTCGGATAAATTTCGGCACGGGTTACATTTTTCAATTATAAACGAAAATCTATTCAAATAATAAAAAATTGAGATATCACGAGTTTTGAAAAAAGTTACACGAAATAATCAGAATCTAAAAATAGTAAAGAAAATCAATGAACTAATCGATATCTAAAAATAGCATTCATTTAAATTCTCGTTTAGCGCGAAAAATATTTACCTTTGATCGTATTAGAGAAGACAGGTCTAAAATAAATGCCAATTTTTCGCGATTACTTAGAAGTTTTCTAGAAAGGAATAGGAGTTGCATTATTACAGGAACTAGCTCTTTCTTCTTTCCGTAGATCTGGGCTTCGTTATAATACTTAGTACTGGAAAATTGAGATTGGATTTAGGTGAAGGATTGAAAACTGGTCTAACGATAAGTACCAGTTTCTATTTCCCGTGTTCTATGCTTAATGCCTTTTCTTATTAATAGGAACTAATTCTTTCTTCCTTCTTTAGATTTACGCTTTGCTAAGATTCGAAATTGGCACAGGAAATTTGGACTTGAACGGGGAACTGGTGAAATGATAAGTACCAGTTTCTCTTTTTCTTTCAGTGTTCAATTTCTTCTCTTCTTAATAGAAACTAATTCCTTCTTTCTTTTTGTAGGTTTGGCTTCGCTGAGATTCGAGAATGACACCGGACAATGGAGATTTGGACTCGGACGAGGAACTGGTTTAATGATAAGTACCAGTTTATATTTCTCGTTGTTCTGTGTTTAATGTCTTAATAAAAACCAACTCTTTCTTTCTTTTTTGTAGGTTTAGACTTCGCTGAGATTCGAAATTGGTACTGGACAGTAGAGATTTGGAATTGGACGGGAAACTGGTTTAACGGTAAGTACCAGTTTCTCTTTTTCTTTTATGTATTCAATTTTTTTTTCTTCTTAATAAAAACTAATTCCTTCTTTCTTTTTGTAGGTTTGGCTTCGCTGAGAGTCGAATTGGTACCGGACGGAGAAGATTTGGACTTGGACGGGGAACTGGTTTAACAATAAGTACCAGTTTCTCTTTTTCTTTTATGTGTTCAAATTCTTTTTCTTCTTAATAGAAACTAATTCCTTCTTTCTTTTTGTAGGTTTGGCTTCGCTAGATTCGAAATTGGCACTAATAATGATTTGGACTTGGTGGGAAACTGGTTTAACAATAAGTATCAGTTTCTCTTTCTCTTTCTTTGCGTTTGTTGTCTTTTATTCTTAATCGGAACTAACTCTTCCTTTTTTTGTAGGTTTAGATTTTGTTGAGATTCGAAATTAGTACTGGGGCCTGGAACGGAAAATAGGACCTCTATAACGACGTAGCTAAGTACTACTTTGGTCTTTCCGCTCTATTCATTAGTATAGTTACTAACATTTTTTTCTCGTAGGTACGATGAATCTCAAAATTAAACTGCGAACTGGAATGTTAAGGTAAAGTCTGGGGTTTTATTTTTTCTTCTATTATTAATCTTCTCTTCACTAACTTTTCGTTATTAGTTATAGTAATAACGATTTTTCGTAACATCACTAATACGAATTATGAAGCGTGAGCACGAGATAAATTTTTTTTTTTTGTGGTATTTTTTTTTTATTCGTTCTATTTTACTGCTACTTTCATAATTTCTGGAACACCTGCTCCTTACCCGAAATCTTTTTGGACGTTCGATAAATTATCTAACTCTCCGGAAATTACATCACTGCCTCCAGACTGAAGGTCCGAAGACAGCGATGTAGTTTCTAGAGAGTTAAGTAATTTACCGAACGACCAAAAAGATTTCGGGTAAGAAGCAGGTGTTCCAGGAATTATGAAAATAGCAGTAAATTTAATAGTTTTTTTTCTTCTCGGGTTTTTTTAGATTAGTAATAATAATCCCTCCGGAATTTTGATATTGAAACCGGGCAACGCGGCGAGTCAGTCGCTCAATAATCCAAATACTTGCGTAACCTACGGTGGGCTTTACTGGAAAGAAGGCGTGTTAGATTTGGCGAGTTGGTTGGTTCCGTAGGTAGGTATCTCTAATATCCAAGTAGTTTCTATTCTATCTTTAACCTCAGCTATACCACACTACTTCGGGCAAGCTGGACAAATTAACCACAGTTGTACCAAGTACGTTAGGTTAACAACTGGACGGGGTAACGAATTTAGCGAGGGTCACGTGAACAAGGGTTTATAGAGAGACAAAGTTTATCACTATGCCACTTAGTAACAAACTCGAGTTAGGTATTTTAGTGGTTAGGGGTTTGGCGAATTATTATTATGTATTTATTTGTTTAAGTAATGGGTCAGGTAATTATTTATTAAAGCGAAAGTTGGGAACTTATCCCTCAACTAGGGCCATTTCGGCCTTTATTTAATATTATTTTGGCCTTCTTACGAGTGCCTTATTACATCTATTATTTAATAAAACCCTATATCTCTAATATATCTAACGCTAATGATGTTTAATAAAATCTTATACCCGAAATATAACCCCTTTGATCTGATTTCTGTTATTTGAGATCCGATCATCCTTTCTGGTGATAATATGCAATAAATTGCATATTTTGCAGATTTTTAATTTTTCACATGATTATTATCATGTTTCTGAGCTCCGTGTTTATCTTTCGAGCTCACTATATAGTGATCGAGGATTATTACTTAATCCCATGTGATGTTGATAAACTGAGCAGAGGATTATAAAGGTAATAGATGATTATAAAGGAACTATAGAGTACGTATACTGTTACATCTTCGTCACATGTTACTAATTGACCGCTGCTGTTTCATGTAATAATTCATATGAGAAGCCCGATAAATTATTGTTATTATTATGAGATTACTGTCACGACAGATCAGCGTAATGGATGGATGATCAATTAAGGGTATCGTGTGATTTCATAATTATTATTCACATCACTATAAAGGTATTGTGTGATTGTATAACAGCATGTAAAGATAATCCTGCATAATGAATACGTATATAGTCATGAGTAATAAATTTTAAAATAATAAATACATTAAATAAAAATAAAATCAAAAATTTCTAAAAGAATAATTTTTTGATATAATTAAAATATTTTATTCAAATCTTTTTTAATATTATTTTATTATATTTTATTTTTTAATTATAATAAATAAACATGACTTCTTCAACTCATATTTTATTTGATAACATTTTTAATAATACTCATTCAGAATTAGTATCTTTGCAACAGCAAATAGAAGAATTTCAAATAACTTATCAATCTAATATTGAAACACCAACATCTAATAATCAAATTGAACAATATTCTTATAATCAAGAAGAATTAGATGAATCTATTGATTTAGATAAATCTAGTTTAAATGAACCAATTTTAAATAATGAACAAATAAATAAATTTAAACAAATTTATTTAAAAAATAAAATTGATAATGTTGAAAATAATGATGATAATTTAATTCAAAAAATCAAAAAAAAATTAGATAAAAAAGATGAAGAAGCTCAATATAAAAAGTTACAAACTATTTTATGTTGTAATAAGAAATGTCTTCAAAATTTAGTTTTTCATGAACATGCTATTACAAATTATCAAAAATTTCAAAATTTAAACAATAATCAAAAAGATATGTTTTTATTAGGAATAATATCTACAACTATTCGACAAGAAACTACAACAAAAGATCAAAAACGTAATAAACTTGCTAGCAAATATGTTTTTGAAGGAATAGAAATTTGTAATGAAGCTTTTTTAATAATTTATGGAATTGGTGAAAAGTATTGGAGAAATATTCGTTCTCATTTTATTCAATATGGAATTAGTCCAAGAATACATAAATTAACTGGCAAAATTAGTAATTTTGCTATATCATTTGAAATTGTTTTAGAAGTACTTACTTTTATAATTAATTATGCAAATATTCATGGTTTACCTTCTCCAGGTAAGTATAATAAATTTTTATTTTTTAGATTTTTATAATAATTAACTAAAATAAATTTTTAATTAATAAAGGACAATATTTTCGTAAAGATACTTTACCAATAATTTTTCTTCCTTCTTGTGAAAGTTATTCATCACTATATCGGCAATATATATCAGGAATAGAAGATCAGAATCAAAAAATATTACATTTAACTACTTTTTGGCATATTTGGAACAAATATATTCCAGAAATTAAATTTCTTTCTTCTCGAACTGATTTATGTTTTAAATGTAAAAATATGCGATTTAATTCAAAATATTGGACAAATCAAGAAAGTGAAATATATGTAACTGAATGGAATAATCATTTTCAATGGGCTCAAAAAGAAAGAGAATACTATAGGTATTTGTTTTTAATAATATTTTTTAAAAATATAAATTAAATTTTAATTTATCTTAATATTTAGAAATTGTATACAATCAGCAAAATTTGCTTTACAACAATTTTCTAACTTTTCTAATATTTTACGACCTAATGAACCAAATTCTCTTAATATTGAAAATCATATATCTTGGGATTATGCTGAACAAATAAAACTACCATACTCTTCGCAACAAGAAGTATAAACTATTTATATTATAAATATCTTTTTTAATTATATACTTAAATATTTTTTTAAACTAGGAAAATATATATTTTAAATCTCTTTATAATATTCAACTATTTGGGATTTGTGAAGATGCATTTCCAATTCAAGTAAATATTTATATTTATTATACTTTTAATATTATTTATATTTAATATTATTTAAATTTATTTAAATTTTTTTTAGCGAAATTATTTAATAAAAGAAGAAGAAAGTATTGGAAAAGGTGCAAATGCAGTTATTTCATTTGTACATAATTATTTTAGTCTTTATGGACTAGGTGAAACCAATTTAATTATTCATGCAGATAATTGTGCAGGACAAAATAAAAATAATGCTATGATTATGTATTTAGCATAGCGAGTTGCATGTGGATTATATACTCAAATAACTTATTCATTTATGGTAGCAGGTCATACAAAATTTAGTCCTGATGGATTTTTTGGTCTTCTTAAATTAAAATTACGAAAATCAGAAGTTGATAATCTTGATGATTTAGTAAAAGTAGTTAAAAATTCAACAAATGGAGGTTATAATCAAGTACAAACAATTTTTGACAAAAATAAGAATCGAATAGTACATTTTTATAATTGGACAGAATTTTTATCAAAAATTTTTAAACCAATTCCTAATATTTTAAAATATCATCATTTTATATTACATCAAAATAATATAGGCAAAGTAGAAGTTAAAACAACAATTGATGACAATAAGCAAACTATAAATATTATGAAATCAAAAAATGTAAATATTACAGGATTTCCACAAGAAATTTTTCCTACAGAATTATCTGCTGAAAGACAATGGTATTTATATGAACAAGTACGTCAACATATTAAAGATTCTCAAAAAAAAGATGAATATTGTTCATTACCAAATATTCCAAAACCAAAAAAATCATCAAATTAAAAAAAATTTATATAAATAATTAATAAATATTTAATATAATAAACTTTTTTATTATAAAATATCAAAAAAAATTATAAAATAAATCATATTTTATATCATTACACTAGTTGAAATTTGCAAAAACAATGCTAAATTAGCAAACATTTAGCATACTATTCAACAAACATTCAGCAAACATTCAGTAAACATTCAGTTGCCATTTGGTACAATCACTGCCACTCACCATTTGTAAATGCTAAGTGACAGCAATTGTACCAAACAGCAACTAAATGTTTACTGAATATTTGCTGAATGTTTGCTGAATAGTATGCTGAATGTTTGTGATTTAGCATTGTTTTTGCAAATTTCAACCAGTGTTAATCCTATAATTAAAACATTACAGTGATTATTACAACACAAATACTAAATTATCTACATTTATAATTATAACTAAATTATGCCTTCCAGTTACAAATCAAGTAATTGATTATAATATCGTAATGCTATAGGTCACAATGATGTAACAGTATACTATCTTTCGCCTTTGCAATATAAAAAACCCGAAAAAAGACAATAACTAGTGTCATGTAGTTCCTAACTACCTATAAGTTTGGGTCTAAATTAATGATTTGAACTGGTTAGGCTATAATCGGTTAACTGAATAAATTTCAGGTAACCAGTTGAGTAAATTCTTAATTGGTTGACCCGTACAACTGGTTGAGTATCGGTAATCGGTTGACAGGATGTAAATTACATCAAGAAAGAGCAAAGGGTCCAAGAACTTCTGAAAAGAAAATGAATGAACATAAAAATTTGAGTAAACACCTGAGAACTTCCGAAGGTAAAGTGTAAAGTAATCTTAATCGGTTGCAATCGGTTGACATTAAATATTTCGGTTACCCGACTAAGGAATTTTTTCTCAGTTCAAATCACTAGTCTAAATCAACTAAGTTTTATCCCACTTGGCCTTATACTTGTACTGCAGGTATCTTACGAGATACTACTACCAAGTGCAAACACACAGTTTATAATAAAGACTAAGTTTATTAACACAAGTTCTCGCTCAATTTATTGAGAATAATAATTCTTCTATAGTTTTATTACATATTCGATCTCTCCAAAACACCATTATCTAATTATTACCACATAATTACTCTTATTACCCATCGAATTATAACATTATTGCACCACACATATGCGTAAGCTAAGTATTAGCTAATAATTACTACATTGTTCTTGCGCATAATCTAGATTTCAATCACCGCATTACTAACTTCGCTCATACCCCGAACTAATCACATAGGATACTGATCTACCACGTGACTACTAGACAAAAAAAATAATAGAACGAATTAAAGATAAACACAAATATGTCGTCAAATACTCACTCTCATGCATTACAAATCCGTGTTTGTAACGTTGTAAAAAGCAAATCTGGTAACCCCAGAAGCACCCATAATCCGAGATTACACTGACCGAAATTCTTGTTTGTCTTGAGGCTTTGCAAACTTACTTCGCCTCTTCGTCTCTGAAATCGCCCGGATCCCTAGAATTCCAACTATTCTGGCCAGATCCTTAGGATCCTTAAGATCCACCAAAACTCAGAGATCCTAACCTGGATCTCCAGGATTCCCAAAATCTCTCAGATTTCTGTTTTTCCTATTTTCTTTATTATCTCTGTTATCCTGTATTAATAAAATTTATGTATATAAGTGATTCGAATTTCCTTTAATAAAAATAACTTTGTTAAGTTCAAAACAACGACTTGCAGGAGTTAGAATAAAACTCTGCCTAAGTTCAAGTATTGAGAACCAACTTCGAAATTCGAGTAGAAGTTTGGTATTGTAAAGTTGTCATTGCTAAAAAGAATCCGTTATTGTTAAAACCCCGCCTCGTGATAATCAAATTCCCGATCAATTTAAACAATAAGTCAATTACCACTTAGTTAGTCTTATAGATTCCCATTGTTAGAATCAATAACCAATCGCAAGGAGAACCAGATCACGTGCCTCATAATCCTTTTTAAAGTATAAGAACCTAAAAGACCAGAACCGAAAGAATAATAATAAAAGCCCAAGGACCAAACAACACCTACCTAAATAAATCCTCTCTGCAACCTTACAACTCGGACCAAATCCTCCACGCCCTCTTTCAACCTTCCAACGTAGGGTTGATTGTTGGATTTGTAGTGTTTGTTGGTTGATTTGTTGAACTACGAACCTAGGTGTAACCGAAACTCTGGTCGAGTTCCGTACCAGAACCGGTTCACACCTTCTCAACGTCCAAAAAATAAAGTTATTATTTATACGCCCTAGAATAAAGAAGGAAAACGTGCAAGTTGTTGAATAGGCACCATAAATATAAACTATAACGAAAAAGAAATAACCCTAGAAACCTAGAAGAGAAGAAACGTTAAAAGAGAAATGTTACTAACGAATAAAGTGAAACCCCAAATAAGTACTTAGCTACGTCATTAGAGAGGTCACATTTGCCGTTCCAAGCCCCAGTGCTAATTTCGAATCTCGACAAAATCCAAACCTACAAAAAAAAAAGGAAGAGTTAGTCTCGATTAAGAATAAAAGACAACAAATGTCGTTAAACCAGTTTCCCACCAAGTCCAAATCATTGTTAGTGCCAATTTCGAATCTAGCGAAGCCAAACCTACAAATAGAAAGAAGGAATTAGTTTCTATTAAGAAGAAAAAAAAATTGAACAAATAAAAGAAAAAGAGAAACTGGTACTTATCGTTAGACCAGTTCCCCGTCCAAGTCCAAATCATTATTAGTGCCAATTTCGAATCTAGCGAAGCCAAACCTACAAAAAGAAAGAAAATAAAGAAAAGAAAGAAAGAATTGATTTCTATTATGAAGAAAAAAAAATTGAACACATAAAAGAAAAAGAGAAACTGATACTTACCGTTAAACCAGTTTCCCGTCCAATTCCAAATCTCCACTGTTCAGTGCCAATTTCGAATCTCAGCGAAGCCTAAACCTACAAAAAAGAAAGAAAGAGTTGGTTTTTATTAAGACATTAAACACAGAACAACGAGAAATATAAACTGGTACTTATCATTAAACCAGTTCCTCGTCCGAGTCCAAATCTCCATTGTCCGGTGTCATTCTCGAATCTCAGCGAAGCCAAACCTACAAAAAGAAAGAAGGAATTAGTTTCTATTAATAAAAAAAAGAATTTGAACAAATAAAAGAAAAAGAGAAACTGGTACTTATCGTTAGACCAGTTCCCTGTCCAAGTCCAAATCTCCACCGGCCAGTACCAATTTCGAATCTCAGCGAAGCCAAACCTACAAAAAGAAAGAAGGAATTAATTTCTATTAAGAAAAGGCATTAAACACAGAACAAGAGAAATAAAAACTGGTACTTATTCTTGTCTAAGTACAAAGCTCCATTGTCTTCTCTAACACCGATCTAGAAGCGAAAAGAGAAGCCGGGAACGTTAATGACAATCATGACTAGGCCAAACCAATGCTTACCTTGGAAATCATACTGTCGAAGGTGAACGACTGCAGTAACGAGAAAAAATTCGCTAAGGTGAAACCCAAGAATGTCTTGATCGTCACGAATATTTCAAAGCTAAAGAAAGACAAAGCATTAAGACAAAAAGTCTAACCAAGCCAAACAAACCAAAGAAAAAAAAAATTAACTGACCCACAAAATCTCTGGCCGTTCTTCCAAAGACGATTAATCTAGAAAATCTAATAGTTCAACGTCAAAAAAAAAGAAATGTTAGTTAAAAGACAAATAAATAATAATTATAATAATAAAAATGCGAAATTTTATTTACTGGAATGCCCCAAGTTTTATGAAATTATAAATTACTGGCGAAATGACACGACGAATAACGTGAAGGCAAATCTATTTTTAATATTAGAATTCAGATATTCTATTTTTAGCTAGATCTGTTTACACGTGATCAAAACTTCAAACTCAATTATCTCAAAATTATATATTTGGTAGTTTCCGCCCTTTCTACTACAAAGACCTCATATACTCATGCACTATTAATTGTTTAGAGACAAATATTGTTCATGGTTTTAATTTGCTAATTAACGTTCCTCGGTTTTTTTTATTTTGATTAAAAGGTTCTAATCACACATTGCAGAGTATTTTTAAACTCAATTTTTCTCCTCTTGTTCGCTCCAACAAATAAACCTTCATTTTTATTACGTACTATCTCTAATTATTATATCTGATATTATATATCAAATTATGAAATTTCCAATATAACGAAAATGCCTTAAAATTTTTTTTTTTTTTTAATAAATTTAAAAACTTTATATGTTGAATAAAATATAAATAATAAGCAAAGTGTTAGAGATGTTTGGTCTTAATAGACCTTATACGAATCTATAAGAGTTTTTCGAAATTTGAAATAGCCTTTGAAAAATCTACCTATTCATTTAATAATATCAGTTTCGATATTTTGAATATTTTGAGGAATAACAAAATATACAAAATTATATTTATTAAACTGCAAAAGTGGTCTCAGGAATAATTACTCGATTTTCTTGCCCCGATATTTTTGTATCAATATTAGATTGAAAATTTCATAAAATTTTCAAAAAAAGCGTGATTGATAACTTGAAATTTACCCATGTTTCATTTTTTTTTTTTTGAAATTGATATAAATACATATACTGTACAAGTTTAATCTTTTTCAAATAGTATATCTGCATTTGGGAATAACTAGACGGTATAAAACTTAATTGCAGATCAAAGTGAAAAAAAAATAAACAGATAACAAATGTAGCGTTTAAAAATACCCTGGTAGTTTTTGATTTTTGATAATGCTTTTATTATATTCGGATCATGTAATTCGGGACCGGTTCAACATCCATAATATCACATGTGTTATAGTTAATGTTCGAAGTATTATGATGGATTAAATCATTAACGAGTATTATGTGTCGCGGAGATGCTAAAATTTAGAGTCTCTATTTAAATTCTAATACTTACCCTTATCCTAAAAAAAAAAAAAAAAAGCCACAAAAAAGGCCCAAAATTTTAAAATTTCATAATAAAATACATAAAAATTTCAGCATAATCCGATTTCACGACATTATGTAATCGAAAGAGCGAGACATATGTCTAAATAATAGAATAAATAGAAACGATTAGGTGTAAATAAGAAAAATAAGATTAAATAAAAAGTTCAGTACATGTATTAGTAAATAACCTTAATTTCACTTACTCCATTTTCGTCAAGATTATTACATTTAAGAAAGAATTAAGCGAGTGGACGAAATAAATGAGTTATTTGGCACTGTTTAATCGATATTCGTTTAACCTCGCGAAACCTGATGAAAATGGAGGTTTGACACGGGTCGACGATTATTATTATTAGCAAAATTGTAAATATTGTAAAAAAATCGAAAATTTATAAAATCTACATAAAAAAGATGTAAATAACGTAAAATTTATAAAATTTGTAAATAAATCCAAATACAGTATAATAAAGTTCCGACCAAGTAAACCTGTGATTACACGTGGCGTTATTAAACCCGAGTCTTCATTAGTTGGAGAACTTCTACAAAACTAAAGGGATAATAATTTAAAAGTTAATAAAGGAAAGCAATAAAGAGAAAGTATTAAAATAAGAAAAGAGACATATCTTGTTCAACCAAATCGTACGCTTCAGCCAGGAAAGCCTTAATCACCTAGTTAACGTTACGCGAGAAATTTTAACGCGTATGTAATAATTATGTAAATGAAAAAAAACCTTATGTCTCAGATTAAATACACTTATTATCATAGACATTATACATCATTGTGGCCTAAAGTGACCACTCAGCCGAGGTTCTTTTGCGTTTTTTTCCCGACATTTCTTTAGAGAAATGTCTCGAAACGATAAATACGATATCGATAATAAAAAATATAAAATCACCGATAAAGTGATTCGCATTTTTCGGCATCTGATAGCGAATCAATGGTAAACAGATAAACCTCGAAGGAGGTGGTGGTTCTTTGCACTAATAAAGCCAATAAACCACCAAGAAGTTGCCGGTTTTTATTACAAAAAACCTGGTAAAAAACGAAACCTTTGCTTTGAAAATGGCCACGTCCCATTCTCAAGTCAAAAATTTGTTCCTGAAAATGGCCTAATGGGACTACGTCCCATTCTCAAGACAAAAATTTGCTCTCGAAAATGGCCTAATGGGACTATGTCCCATTATCAAGGCAAAGATTTGTTGTGTTTACATTTTTCGAAGATCTACGTTTTTATAAGCAAATTTTTCTGTGACAACAGATTGATCAGCCAATAAGTGAACTTCATGTAATTTGTAATTTTGAAATTATGTACTGTAATTTCTTAACATAAAATTAAAAATCTCACGTATTAAATATCACATAGAATATAAATAAATAGTATCGGTATTAAGAATAAAATTCATTTATTGTATTGTTATAAATACAATAAATTTTGGTTAAAGTTTTCATAGTGCTGGCATATGATATCACGTGTAAAATTTACATGAAATTCAAAATTATCTTCCCGAAACTTACGCAAATTACGTAAAATTACAGTAATTTGACAACCCTACTAATGCCTGGCATAATGCCCAATTTGCCCAGCATGGGCACTTTGTAAGAGCCCTAATCTTAATTTAAAAGTTAACTTGATGTAATAATTTTATATTTGATACTGCTACGTATTACGTATTTTTTTTTTTTTTTATATTTGCTAATTACTTTATTAAGCTAGTTATATTTAAATACTTTTGTAATAGCGATAGGATGTATAATAAAATGCAAAATCCTTAATATCCTTAATAAAGTAATAATAAAAAAATTAAAACTAGATATATTGTATTTAAAATTTTTCAATTATTATTACAAATATTATAATAGTAACAAAATATACAAATATTAATATTAGCTCTAAATATAAAATTAAAATTTAATTATTTCCAACATTCGACTCTTCTTCTAATTACATCTTTTGCTTCTTTTGGTGATAGATGATAAACACACAAACTTTCAAGCATTTTACGTATTTCTGTACTTTCTAATTCATTATCAAACAAAATGCGCATAATTTGACTTAATGTTTTTTGATGAATAGAGTTGTTTTGTTTGACAACAGATGTTATTTGATAAGATGAAGGAATAGTAAGCAGAATGCATGCATCTTTTAATCTAAGAATAAATAATAAAATAGATTAGAAAAGTTAAATTAAGATTTTTTAAAAAAGTAAGTTATTACATGTTCGAATTCAAACCTTCTAAAATAATTTTCTGGTTTCTGAACCCATCTTTTTCCAATAGTGAATAACCCTTTCTCCATATCTACTTCAAATTGCCTGCCACCCATTTCGGAAAACTGATTTCCCATTAATATTCGATTCCATAAATAATCTTCTATTTCTTTGGATATTTCTTTATATAAATATTTAAAAACTCTTGCTGGCAAGTGGTTGGATAAAAATGTGAGAGAGTGTGCCAAGTCTGATAATGGAGTATAAAGCTCCGGTGATAATTCGATTTCTATATTGATCTTATCATCATTTGAAGATGCTGATACTTCCGCTTGTTTGAATAATGGTTGTTGAGATATTATAACAGGATCGAGATTGTAAATATCTGTTCGTGACCAATTATTTCTGAATAAAATAATTATCGATGAATGAAAATGATTCATAACTTGATTATTAAATTTGATAATAAAGAACTCACTTTCTGTAATATGCTTTCGACCCATTAAAGAACCCTTTAGAAACATTCTTTATTATTAACAATTGGATCTTCTCACAAGAACTATCAAATAATCCTGCAGGATCATCGAAAACTGTTCCTTCATCAACAGTAATCAGCTCTTCTTTATGTACAGATGATGACTCTTGCAATTGATCAGAACTTTCTGATGAAGTAGGTGATAGAAAAGGTGAACTACCGGTATTACGAGATGCACGTAAAGTAACTTCATGCCATAGTTCAAGAAAAAACTACATAAAGGGTTAAAAATAATCAATAGGTTGAACTAAGACACGAATTGTCAATTATGAAAAAATAATTTCTTACAGAATCTTCGCCCCATTCTTTAATCGTACGACTAACAAAACCAGCACTATTAAGCCAACGGCACAACCTTTTTAAATCTTCAATACCACTATGTGATTTTCCGTCCGCACTTGCAGTACTTGGAACAGACCTTACAAATGAATAACTAATACTTTTCTCAAATGCATCCACAGCAGAATCAATTCTTTTCGCATATGACATTAATAATTCAGCTTGAATATCAACCAAAAAACGAATACGATTATGAAACATGGGCAACAATTTATAACGACCTATAATTAATAATTCATAATATTTATTTCAAATGTGAATATAAATAAATATACTAAGAATTAGATAATGATAAAGACACATACTTGTGATTAATTCTAAAAGATTGGTTAATTTTCCGGATGATTTAGTTGGTCTAAATTCATCTTCTGGAACATCAACATCTATCAATTCCCAGGCATCTTCTGAATGCATTATCTCATTATAACGAACTTCTGCAACTATATTATATAACACATTATTTTAAAATCAAAAAAGAATATTCAGAAATTAAATTAACATACATTCTTTTTCAACTTTTAACCAAGCCTTGAATGTCTCTTTTTTTCCAGTAAAAACTTCAACACATCCTTTCCATTCTTTCTGACCAGGTGGAATATACATATGTAATTCACGAAGTGTTTGATCAAATTGTAAAGTTTCGAAAACTGTATGCGAAAATATTTGAGGGGATTTCAATAAAGTTGGTACACTTTGGGTCAACTTTCTAGTTACAGCAACAAGCAAGCATCGTATAAAATCATTCTATTGCATATATGTTATAGGCTTAACAGTTAATGTGTCATCAATCGTAATAATGCCCATTTAATTAAAACAAAATTAGTACAAACCTTTGCGTGATATTCTTGAAAACCAGCCTCATCCACAATAGCTTGTATAGCACCTGTTAAGAATGGAGAATGTTCATGTATTGTAGTGATAACATGAGAGAAATACCATTCTGGCTAAAAAAATAAAATAAAATAAATCAGGTTATTTACTAAAAATTTATAATTTTCTATTGAAATATATAAATTTTTAAATTTTTATATAATTACAATATATTAATTTATAAATGACTTTAAATTAATTACATATTACATATTTTACCTTGTCTATGCGACTAGTCGGTCTTTTTGAATCGAAATGATAACGAAATCGTACAATCAAAGGTTCTACCATTATTTGAATTGGTAAAAGAGGAGGAAGTTCATCATTTTGATCAATGGATGAAGAAGGTTTTGTAGAAGTTGATTCATCGGTAATAATTATCGGCCTTTGTAATAATAGTAATTCTGTAAATGCTTTTTTAAATGATGATAGCTTATCGGTTGTGACTTGTGGATCATGAAGTTTTATTGGCGTTGGCCAATTAAGCGCATCAAGAGATTGTTGAAATTTCCTAACCGAATATCAAAGATGAATCATGAGCTCTCAATAAAATGTATTTGAAATATATTTGTGGTAATTATTAACTAACTTTTTCAATTTATTTTTCATGTCTTCCCAAAGTACATCCACGCTTTGTTGCAAAAATACGTCCAAATGAGTGACCACATGTCCAGCATCCTTACTTTTAGATTTTATGCTATGTAAAAGATTCGCAAGTTGAATATATGGATTAAGAGCTTTGCGTGGTGATCTTTCAATTAAATGCTTCGTCTGTGCACTTCAAAAAATTGAGTTAACTGTAAGCCTTAATAATAGGTTAAGTATATAGAATTAGTAAGTAGTTAACCTAAAATACCTCAATTCTTCAGCGACAACTAACACTTTGAGGTACTGTTTTGATCTTTCTAGGCTGTCAACCTGTTGTTGCAGCATGACTAATTCATCCATTAACGTCTTTTCATTTGAGAAATTTTCTTGTAAACTCAATGAATTGGAAGAAGTCACGATATTGCAATGATCTGTTAATACATCTTCAAGTTCTAGACGAGTGGCCTGAAAATCCTCAAGTTTTGTGACAGTGGAATTAAAAGCTTGAAGGGAATGTTTTAGTATTTCTGAAGTTTTAGACTGTACTTTGACGCACTACAAAAAATATAAAGTTCCATTTGTAAAAACTTAACAAAATTCATTAGAATTGATAAAGCCAATGATTAGCAAACTCACATTTTCATTCAATTTTTGTTCGTCACTTTTTACTTCAGACAGTATTGTGTTCAACTTTCCCAGATCTTCTAACTCTTTAAAGTGAGCATTGAGAAAATCTACAACATGAGCTGAGATTGCACTTTCGTCTGGTTCTTTAATAAGAGACTCAAGTTCTAGCGTTGACATTGCTTAGCAATTATGAAAAGCGTAGTTAACGTTAAATGATTATCAGTCTGTCTATAATCGCCTATCACATGATCTAAAAATCATATAATTTTGATTGGCTGATATCGAAATTAATATCGATATAATTAAAACCGGTCTGTATTAAGTTACGTATTAATAAACTCCCGATATAAGAAAGTGAAATTTCCACTTTCCTCGACAACTTTCTTATATCAAGTTTCAGTTGTATTACGCCCCAGAGCTCAAACCAGAATTACAATGTGTTTAATGCGTAATTAGTACTTAGTTATCAGTTATCATAAAAAGGTTACGAAAAATAAAATATTTAATAACATTAATGACAGATTTCCACTTAGCCGCCATTTTGCAACTTTTTGATACGTAACCATATTACCCATCCTTATTACAATGCTTTATACATAATAAATCTGAAGTAGTTCAGAATTAAGTTATTTTATTTGTTGCTTTTCGTTACTGCAAGTATAAATTACGCTGAAAAACTAACACTAATTCAAATCCGTAACAGTAGAATTAGAAAATAAGATTTATCGTGAGAGACTTGTGTTGGATTATTATCATAATAAAATTGCGTCACAATCTTAATTGACACAGACCCATGTCCTGGAACATTAAATTTTCAAACAATCCCTATCGCTATGTTATTAAAGCTTCCTAATCTACCAAGTCAATTTATTATCATTTCGCCTTAGTCTTGTGTGGTTCTAATACCCTTTAATTATCATACTCACAGCTACCCATTAATAGATTCTTTAATCCTCGAATCAACTGCATAGAAAATTACAAACAGACAGATTACAGGATCAGGGTCAATTATATCTCAGCACAATTTTATGAACGTGACTCTATCTAATTGGCGTCGATCTACTAACCATTGTTGTATATATCATACTTGGTTTAATTGGTTAATATACACGTGAGATCTACGCCAATTAGCCAATAAAAAAAATCAAAAAATGTCTATAAACCCTGTGACGATTAGGGTTAGTCAACAAACCAAGTCAGGAACACAATTCTACAAACTCGGCATAAATAAATATCCAGTTTTGTAAGAAAATTTGTGAAAGCCGCAAACTCTTCTCTAGTTCAAAAAAAAAACTTGTATTTTTTTTTTTTTTTTTTTTTTAGAGTTTAGAGGATCGTTGAGCAAATTTACTATGGCAACGCCCAGTAAACGTAAATATCTTTGTGTTTAAAAAATTTATGAAAAAAAAAAAGCTTATTATTAACGTCTGACGTTTTTAAATAATTGATAGTCTATATAGGACACCTTTCGACAAGAACAGAAAAACGGGACTTAGAAGAGTTGGTATATATCACCATTAATTTTTTTTTTTTTTTTTTTTTTATGATTTTTATTACCTTTTAGATCCGTTCTTAAATAACAGTCTTCTTTAAATTATATATATTATAGTTTGAAAAATATGGAAAAGTATTAAGCGTAGACGTAAAACCTATGGGATATGCATTTGTTGAGTTTGAGGTTAATAATGAGTATTATTAAAATGGCATCTGTATCAGGAAGCTTGGTATGTGTTTGGATTATCAAGTTCACTTTAAACAACTAATTGTTAAAACATGTTGCTCTTGCACGTGTAAACCTGGTTTTATAGGATCCACGCGATGCTGATGATGCTGTTAAGCAACTCAATGGTGTTGAATTAGATGGCGCTAGAATTGCTGTAGAGTGGTCCCGTCGATCTGGTGGTCCCGGAAGCGGATGTTTCTTATGTGGTGGACAAGGCCACTGGGCTAGGGAATGTCCTGATGCTAGGGAAAAGGGTATGGACGTTAGAAGTGGTCGCTGCTTTCGATGTGGTGAATTAGGCCACTTGGCTAAATATTGCAGGTGAATTTCTATAATGCAAATATCTAGGACGAATTTAAATCAATGGGTATTTTTATATTATTTACAAATTTGCTTTTTATTATACTACTTTTTAGAGGTGGTGGCGATTATGATCGTAGAGCTCCATCTCCTCGTTATCGAGGTCGTTCTCCATATTACGGAGGTCGTAGCGGTGGTTATTACGATGATTATGATCGTTATCGTCGAATCTCTAGGTCTCCACCTGCGTATGGCGGTTCAGGTAGCGGCTCTTATGGTCCTCCAAGAAATCGTTCAAGGAGCCCCGCTTTTAGACGAAGTCAGAGCCCTTATGGATACAATGACTATGGAAGGAGATAGAGTTACGAAGCGGATACAATTTGTAATCTGGGTCACCTGTATGATTTTTTGAAATCAGGGATCTGGGTGAAACGGGTGATTAATATAACCCTTATAACAACTTTAGGATCGTTTATAAAAAAAATGTAGCTGATGCCGCTTGCAAATATAATTATGTTTATATAAATTACATCACTTACATATTAATACAAATGTTAAAATACAATGTTCGAAAAGTTTGTTTCAATGATGTTTTGAATTTCAAAAACAATAGCGTAAAATCACGATTACCAAACATGCCATGAGATAACAGATAACCGTCAATTAGGTAATAAGTATCTGGTATATAGGTTAACTGAATAATCCTATCTGAGACTAATGATTGTAGCTTACCTACAAAAATTTTCCTGCACGTGAATTTTTTTGTGGCGCAACCAATCATTTTTCAAGATCAGATTTAAACATCTATAGAATAAAAGTAATAAAACATATGATTTGTTATACTTTTTTTTAATAATAAATTTTTTTGAACTAATATAATGTAAATTTTTATTCTAAACAAGTTTATTTTTATTTTTTTATTGTTAAGATGATTTATATTGCCGAAAAAATTTTATTAATTTGATATATGAAGTTATATATAAGTAAGTTTGTAATTATATGAAAAGTGTATAACAAATTATATATTAATATATAATTTTAGTTGTTGTTTATTTAAGTAGTTTACTAGGTGTTAGACTATCTAATTGGTTTTATACAAGTTATTATATTTGTAATTTATTTGTAAATTACTTATTTAATATTTTGTTTAATTTTTATTATTACAAATTAATAGTATTATAATATTTAATTATTTAAGTTAGTTAGCTTATTATAGGTTTATTTATTTAATTTAGCTTAGGTTTTTTAAATTTTATTAAAGTTAATATATTGTAAATATTTGCAAAGTTAGTTAATCTTAAAACAAATTTATTAAATTAATTTATATTTATTTTATATAAAGCTTTAATCTATTATTTATTTATTTATTTATTTATCAGATATTCAATATTTAAATATATTTGAATATCTAGTTACTATTAATATTCAAATAACTATTTGGATATCTGTTAGATTATCTGAATATTAATAGTGTTACAAGTAGTATAGCCTTCTTAATATACCACAAGTAACATAAGATACAGAAGAGGGACTCCTAATGGTGTCAAAGTGAAATGTCACATCACTGTGGCAGTTCGTTTAAAGAAAGCATTTTTGTCAAGGCCAAAGTATACTTTATTAAAGAATTAATAGAGGATTTTATTAGAGAACTGTAAAGAACTACAGAACTATATAAAACTATATAGAACTTAATATAGAACTATGCAGAACTATATTAGAACTTTATTACAGAACTATTTTACAAGAGAGGGGAAAAGCTAGAGTTTATATATCTTTTTCCTAAACATCCTCAAACGTAGTTAAACATCATCAAATGTAGTTAAACGTCATCAAATGTCATCAAACGTCATCAAACGTAGATGTTACTCAAAATATAAATCCTAAAGTAACTCAAGAACTACATGTGCTACAGATATGATTTATAGCTCATTTTGAAGGTCTAATCTAGCTACATCAAATGGTGTAACCTAAATCTATTTTTAGCTATTAAGAATTCGAAAGAAATGCTAATATATAAATCTAAATATTAAATATAATATATTAATAAATAATTAAGAAAATATACTAAAGTTCATTTGATAACAATTCTATTACTAATGACTTATCTGTATAAATGGTTAGCTTTTTTTTACCTTTTAATTTTTTAATGATATCAATTAACTTATTTTGTATCTCATTTATAGATACTAGTGAAACTAAATAATGCTAGTAAAACTAGTAACTATCTAAAATATAATTAGTTATTATATTAAATTTCACTTGTTTTACTACTATTTATCAAAGAGTTTAACTAGTTTTACTAGTATCTATAATCTCACTATTACTAATTACTCTTTGAATTATTGCTTTCTCTATACTAGCTACTTTTATTTCTACTTCTCTCTCTTACTCTTCTTTTCTCTCATAAGAAAATTTTTTAGCTGCTATATAAACAGACAAAGATATTTCAATTGATATTATATTTCTCTTGTATGATACTTTTTCCAAAACTTGATACTATATCTTCTACTTTTGCCTTATTATATTGCTTATATCATTACATCTTCTATATATACAACTTTTATATTTACTAGCTCATATATTTTCTGTATCCTCATTTACTTCAATTTGTCAGTACTCAGTTATAAAATACTTGTTTTCTTTTTTTATAATTTTTCTTATTTTGAAGCTTCTTTTTTTTTTGAAGATAATCTATTTTCTTTTTCTTTTATATGCAGATATTCTAAGCCTACTACATATTATTACATATTAGTTCAGTTCTGCTATATGATAATCTTCTTTTAGAAATCTGAGTATAATGCAATCTATGACCTTTTTTTCTATATACTTAAATCAGTATAGCTTATGACTTCTTCTCTTGCAATTTCTGATATATCTTATTTGCTACTATATTAAGAGTCTGTTACCACTACTTATTATTATCTGTTTAAGTATAAAAATATTCATATTATTGCTTTCTCTATATCTATTCATCTTTTTTTTATCTAATAGACTTAGAATACTTGTGCATAATATTTCTAGATTTTCTTTATAAGTACTACTTTCTTGAAACCGAATGAACCTCCTTCCAAATTTCTTCTTCCTCTTTT